CCGAAACACCACTAGTAAGCTTATTAGGTGTGACGCATCTGTTAAAATCACGCGGTAGTGCCTTCGTCACAGGGAGGAATTGTGCACGTGGGTCTGTCACGCCATGCTCGCCGAAATCAGCTTCTGCGTCAAAGAGTCGGGCTTTCATATCGTCGGACCACAATGGCATGAATTGAAACGTGGGGGGGGCGGAATAGTCTTTATCCTAAAAAGCTTAGGTGCCCATTCGTCATAATCAAGGTAAAATATACCGATGGGAGAGAAACAAATAAACAAGAATATGAAAGAAATATCACAATATGTAAAAATGGGATAAAAAAAGAAATGTAATGTTTCAACAAGGCATGAATTCATAGGTTACTATTTGATGCACCGAATCACGTCCAACTCACCACCAAAGATGCCAAGTGTACTCGGAGTTTGACGACACGTTTACGCGGAACATCTTTATGATCGAAGTATGTTAAATGTGTCAAATCAGAAGTCAGAGATGAAGGGGTTCGAAGATACATTTGGAAGACTATCGATTTATCGAGAAGCGTTTGGTCTGAGTTGGCAGACGGTCGAAATTGATACGTAGCACAGCATAACCACTCGTGCTCACCATCTGTTTTTAATAAGCCGACTGCTTGTACACAGTATTCGAGTTCAGGACGAACAAATACTATGTGCGAAGTTTAAATGTCTTAACATTTGATTCAGTAATGACTCTACGTATTAACCAGAGGGTTATAAAATCTCTGGCAGCTATTACACGGCAGTTTGCAGTTGCTTTTAAGTCTTCACTGATCACTCCAAGGTCGGTGTGATTCTGAACAACCGTTAGCTCAACGGTGTTCATGGTGCAGGCAACAGTTCCTTGAACCATGATGCACTCTCAAGTGCATATCTGCATCTACTCTATTACAGGAAATTCATGTAAATTTTGAAAATCATTTTAAGGCTCTAAATTGTTACGTTCATTTGTAATCTCTCCTCATATTTTGATATCTTCAGCATGCATCAAAATGGACGTTTTCAGGAGACTAAAAATTTTGGTGGTGTACTCAAATGGTTCAGAGGGTTGTGAATGGAATAGGAGATTTCGCCTAACGGGCTTCAGAGTCTAGTATCAGTGGATCACCAACACCTCAAGGCAGAAACACAGGCATATTAACTAGATACAATAATACCCAGAAAGAAAAGAAATTGATGACCAAAAATAGTGAACACTGCAAATGGTTAGAACCAAAAGTTTTAGCAAATACAATAGAAACAAAGTACTCAAAAGTACCGACAACATGTTACTTTAGAAAGAACGATAATCTTAAAGAATACTTTAACTGAAATAAATTCAATTCAAGTGTAAACAGTAGTCTTTATACATAATAAACGATCCAAACAGTAAAATTTACTCGAAGAGGAATTATACCACTGTTCTCTTTAAATAGAGCTATTTGCAAGCGGTTATAGAATATTTAGGCAAGGAATATCCTAGGTAGTACCGGAAGTACGAGGCAATATACAATTTATTAGTGATTCGGATTGGAAGCCTGACCTTGTTCATCATTAAAGAAACTGGCTTTATAACTGTTGAAGATTTGTTCACAATAATATCCTATCTCTTTACTTGCCTGTTGTGAGTGTACGTTTTCTACAATACAACCAAACTGTACTCATCTTGCATGTCGGAATTTGTTAAGCGCTTTCTGAAGGTCATGCGAAACGAGTAGGGTTTGTTACCATCTGCCGTCTAAACCATTCACATATATCGACCAAAAGCTCAGGAAACTGTAAGCTTGACCACAAGCATTGAACATTTTCTTGCTCACACAAGTAAGCAGTCCCTAGAACTTCATGCTAATGTATTTACTGATATTAAGTGATTTTCGGAATTTAATACGATCTTCAACTTAATGCGTATAATGGCAGCTTCTCAATGGACAATTGCTCAAGAACCAAACGCAATGTTTGCACTTGAGAAGAAAGATGACACGCTCAAAATTGCTTATTTGACATTTTTAGGCTTTCAGACGCAACTAGACTACCTAATTATGCTTCCGTTTGGACATCTGGGCAAAATCCCAACCCTCACAAAAAGCATTTGATTTCTGCGGAGCATCTATATTTGGTGCCCCCTTGTACCAATTTTTCTGTGTTTGAAAAAATAAATAAAATAACCCAATTATTCAGAAACTACCAACTCTTGTAGGCCAACACACATTCAACAAACAATGAGTACTCTGAATACGAAATGCCCGCCTTGATTAGTGCCACTCAAGGTGATGGAGGTAGATTTGACCTGGGTTCAGCTTTTCATCAGGAGGGTCAGGACGTCAAGCCACTGATTTTCGCGCATACGTTACATATTGTAGAGGGTATTCGATGTCATTATTTATCAGCTATTAACAGCATTTTTCTCATCACACGTCAATTTTTCTAATGCTTATGCTTGTTACACAGCTTTTATTCCAGTGTATTAGTAGTTTGGATGTGTGGTTCCTTGTGTGTGAGGCATTTTCTTCTTCACGACCAGTGGAGTACAAAGTGCAGAGATCGAACAGGTCTTGAAAATACTTTTCGAAAGTTTTCTGTGTGAAAACCTCTCCACTTATACACTGTTGTAACCTGTTCTCCTTGATTCCTTCGGATGTATATCTCGCTGATCATTTGATCCTGTCTAAGATGATATTACTCATGTGTTATTGAAGACACTTGTGCGCTATCCGACCACACGGCACAGTAAAAATTCAAGAAGACAGAAACACTGGGTGACCCCACTAAGAAATCCCATAGCCTGAGAGAAAGTGAAGTTAACCCTGACTTTAAAATGTCGATTTCTTAGATTTCAAATGAGCCAGTAAATTAAAGGTGATTTGATACCTAATCGTTTGGGCTTATTGATAAGATATATATGGTTGACCCTATCGAAATATTTTGAGAAGTCAAGGTGAACGACCTCAACCTTCCCTTTGTGATCAAGAATGGTTGTCCATCCGTCCACTGCAGTCAGCAACTTGACTATACAAGAATGACCCCTTCTGAAACCGTGCTGTTGAGGTGAAAAAAGTTTGAGGATAATAAATAGTCGTGTATACCGTCTCATGACGGGGTCTCCATAATTTGTGAGGGTATAAATAGAAGTGCCACAGGTTGGCAGCTTGAAG